TGTGTAATTTTAAGGAACTAAACATACTTTTAAGATAAAGAGAGCAAATGCTAATTTTCTGATTTCTAATGTATAAGATCTAATGTTTTCAATTTCATTGTTTGTACTTATTTTCTTTAAACCCATAACAACCACATCACTGAGCGAAAATGATTTGGTGGCTTATCATCATATATTCTCTATCTATATACTTAATATAATCAATCTAACGTTTGTACTTTTGAGCTATTGCAGGATCCAGATGTTTTTAAATTTCATCAGTTTTTATCTTTTTTATAACCATGACAGCCACTTTGAAAACAATAACAAAAATGGCATGCAAAAATTACTAATGCAATTTTCACATTATAAGGTAGCAAGTATGGCGCTAACATGTTTCCTTCCCCTCAAACGCCTTTCAAATAAGTTTAAAATAGCACAATATAAAGGGGTAGTAAGGGGTTACAAAGAAATAACATTTCAAACATCTAAAATTAAGAACATAACCTTTCTAGAATAACATGTAATATACTATCTTATAGTTCCTATAACGGAAACTGTAAAACAATAAGAACCGGAAATCATAAGATATTTATGTACAAAATGTTTCGCTTATTATCCCATTATACCTTGATCAAAGAACAGGAAACAGTTAAACCGAAAGGCGAGAATACAATACTAAGTTGAAAAGAATATATCTTATTTATGAATTGATTTTTCAGTTTGCCATATGAAATACGATTATTGCCACTTCTTTGCGCCCATCTACATTTTAAATAAATGTATTTTATATGTAACCTTTAGTGTATGATCCAATACTCACAAAAGTAGAATTCGACCAGTTAGGTCGCATAATTATTTAAGAACTAAAAGAAATACTATATCAAATTATTTAAAAACAATATAATTATGTTTGTAAACAAGTGATTTTACATATTTTCAATAAATGCATCCGATATATTTAACAAATGAGTCTTATTGATTTGACAGGCAGTCATAAATAAATGGGGAAAATCAGTGACAGTTTTTATCTTTCTGCTTCGTTCAAGGTTTCCAAAAAAAATGGTTCAATATCAATCTAATTTGTTCAGTCTGAATAAAGTAAATCCTCGGTGCACATTACGCACAGGCAGAATTTTGATTTTCTAAAGACATCGAACATAATGAAATTCATGAGACACATGGATTTATGCTTTCAAATACTTTTAATCAAAGTTTGGAAACTTGATATTAATCATTATGTCAGTTAAATATGATATGAGACATATTCGTTTTTTATTCTTGGCATCACATACGGAATTCAATTTCTACGATTTCCTGTTAGTTAGTATATGATTATCTTATTCATTTTAAACATTTAAAAATATCAGCCTTAATTTTAGGATAGAAATACTCGACACTGTTAATATGTTTTGCACAACTACATGTTCTACTGAAAATAATATTGAACAGCTGTGGTAGTTAATATTTCTTATACAAGGACAACATAGATTTTTATATACCAAACATATTAATGGCACTTAACAATATTAATTTTATTATCAAATACGAGTATTTATATAAAACAAATGTGCTGTATGTTTCTACACATTCATTGATTTACATGGTACTACACGTATGAAAGACCAGAGATGATAGTTTAACTTCACAAATTGTCAGGTCATTAGGTAAAATTCATGACACTAAAATTGTAAACTTGTAAATATATGAAAATGAATCCCTGCAGTTGAAACTGTGAATTCATGAAGTTGATATGTTGATATCATGGATTCAATATGTTGAAATGTTGTATTGATGAGTTCATGTCAAAAGAATGTCCTTAATATTGTAATAGAAAATAAGAGAATAAAGTTTAATTGATTCATTACTTATTTATTGTATTAACAAGATAAAGAAAATATCAGTTGATCGCTATTGCAACACGTTTCTTCATACAAGTAGCATACTTTTTTCATTTTATAACAAAGAACCACCTCTGGTATAACACAAAATAATGACAAATAAATGGTGTATCCAACAACCGACTTTTTCTCGAGTTGTTATTCATGAACCAAAATCTCATTTGCATGATAAATGAGAAATAAATGAAATCATTCATTTATTTAAACATACAAATATTTTGATACCATGTATGAAAAAACGACCATTTCTTCCACGTTAACTTACTTTATACTAATACACAAAATATTTACAAACATTGATAAAATATTTTGTAATGATTGTTATATATTAATTAAGGCTGATACTTTTAAATGTTTAAAATGAATTTGATATACTAACTATTACGATGATGTAATTTTGAAAACATGGACTTGTAAATATAATTGCTCACTGATCAAAAAGGTTTTATTTATTTGAACTGTATTGACTGCTATTGAAAACGAATTTTATCCCTCGTAAAATATTCACCATTCATTACTACAACTGTTTACTAATATATCAAAAAACTTACCTTATATCATCTTGTAAAAAGTTGTTGTGTCCAACTAGGAGACTTCTCTGTTGATTGCATTAATAAACTTTTGGTTTTCACCTGTATAATTAGCTCATTATTTAATAACAAATACATATGTGTGCATTTTCACAATATCGATGCTATTTTATTCACAAAAGGGATACAACTGGAATAATTTTGACTAAATAGTAGTTCATAATCGTCTCCCCTATCCGTATTAAAATCGATCATCTTGTAATTGCGAACGTGATCTGAAGACATTCTAATATTTACAAAAACTAATGGATAAATATAGTCTTATTTTAAATAATGTTGGAGATGTATGACAAATATTGACACAGTTTAATGTAACACGATGATAAACTGGTAAGCTGTAATTAACAGCATTGACGATAGAAATATATACTTAAGTCGATAAAGAGATATTATTCGTAAATCGTTCAAGTCCTGCCGTACAAATTTTACCGTTATAGTTCACTAACATAACACAAATGTGATATTTCTTTATCAGTGGGAAATTTTAAACAATATATATAATATTCACGATGATGTCAGCGGTCTGACAAAAATTAAGCGGACATTGAACGGACTTTTCGGCTTCGAACATTTAAATTAATCAGGCTGACTAATCGATCACTTATTTTCTTTGAGGCCCTTCGTGAACAAGTTCGTAAAGATTGAAGCTGTAAACTGTGGAAGTTCGTTTGTACCCCGGATTTAGATTGGAAAAAGCACACATTTTTAAATTTTGCCGATGTCCAGGTTATCTCTTTAACACACAATGGTTTCAAAATATTGTATGAATATGTAAAGAGAGACAATCGCGATTTCGTATTTTCAGATAATCTACTTAATTCATGATTTTTATTACTGAAAAGGGATCATTTTGAGAATACGTTTAAAATATCTTCAGATCATGTTCTTGTTACATGAACGAGTCTATTTTGAGATACATGTAGAACTAAAATTCGAAAGAGGACAAGTAACGAAGACTGAAAGTACGGTTTTTGTTATGTTCCAAAGATCAAAATTGAAAATGCACACCTGAAGTGTATAAAGCTATATCTCTGCTATCTGCATTTTAAAAAATATTTGTTTAGAATTTTGAAGAAAAAAACATCCAAAACGCCTGTATGAAAAAAATGTCAATATATTTCGTAAAATGCGAATGGCGCATGTACAAAATTGTTGCTTAATGGTCAAAATCTTATTTAAAAAGAGCGACCAGTGATCACAAGCTGATTGAGGGCATGTTGTAGCTACTGTGTAGTAAGAGAGAGACAAAAACATAAACAGACCGAAACGTTTTTGTATTCAAGAGCCTAACATAGACAAATGATAATAATATTATGAAAACAACATAATTTTACCGTTTTTAAATATTTTGAAAATATTTCATTAGATATAGCTTTATACCCTTTACCGAGAGAGGATCTTGTATACATCTAAACCAATGTGAATCATATATTTTAGAATCTTCCGCTTAACGCCATTATGTAACATTAAAAACTTAGAGTAAGATTGAAAAAAAAAATGCTATCAGTGACCATTAACTTGTAGAAGACGAATTGAAAATATGTTGCTTTTTGCAACTGAAAAATATTTCATAACGCAATAAGCATTCATTAATTAAAGCAAAATCTATGATAAGAGAGCATACAGATACCCGCTATTCCAAAACGAAACTTATTTTATTTTTGTAAAATACTCCAATGGTCTGTACGTGCTTATGCTCAAGAAAGATTATATATAATAAATATAACGGTAAACGAATATTATATATATGTATGGGGATTTTCCAGTGATCTACAGAGTTTTTAAAGAAGAGCAATGAAATGTCGTGGTGATTTGGAATGTTTGGAATTGTTAAATTCTTTTCACGATCAATTTGATTTTACGTTCCGTCTATTACAGAACTAGAAATCATTGTAATGGCTATTTATTAAATTTTCATCGGACGTTAAAGCACAGAAGTGTACAATTATAACAGAAATAATTATTGCATAAAAACCACAAACGGTTCTTAAGTTATGAAACAAATCTACAGTTTTGAAATGTATTGATGAAAATATACAAAATCTCTCTCGCAAAAAAGTAAACATTGATAACAAATTAATTCTTATCGAAAATAATTATGTAACTTTTATGATTTAAAATTATTAAATATAGAAGACTATTGCAATTGTATTTGTTAAATGTATTTGAAATGCTATTTATAAAACAAATGATACATTTATATACTTATGACAAAATAAATCTAAAGGGAATAACAAAATATTTTAAATTAATGAAATATAACACGAGAAGTTCTAGTCTATTTATAACCACAACTTATATGATGGTTAAATAAAACAAAGAAAACAGGTTATTTTAACAAAATATGACAGGTCCAATAAAGTTATTAAACAGAAAATTCTAAAGGACTTAAACGAATAAAAGAGTGGACCAAGAACCCAGTGAGTCCTCTTCACCCAAAAACTATCTATAAATTAAGATGATTTCTTTCTTATTACCTACATTTTACTTTTAGGGCTTTTGGTTAATAAATGCCTTATTGAACCTTTTTATGTAAAAAAAAACTACCTACGGTATTACAAAACAACACCAATATGTACGGAAGGATTACAACAGTGTTAATAAAGGTAAAAACCACAAAGTGACCGGATTTACAAAACAACAGTTATGAATACATGGTGCTATTTTACCGCATTACTTATCAACAAGTTTTGCGAATTTTTTGAAATCAGATCCAATCAATTCAAAGACATCGGCCTGCAATTAAACAAGACAGCTTTAAATTTGATGAAATATTTCTGTTACAAAAACAAACATTACATTTCCGAATAAATCAGATTATCACGAAGCTCATTTAAAAAACTAAATCAATTTAAAAACAATCTGATTGCGTTATCAAATTAAAACAAAGATAATTGAATGAATCAAGAAACCTAATTTTAATTCAAATGTAAATTATTACGAACAACAAGCTGCAAACAGTAAAAATCATTTTGAGACAGGGGAAAGCTTAGAACATAGTTTCAGCGAGGAAACATCGGAAAGATTTATATTATATTTTTCTCAGAGGCAGTTTCACTAGCACCTGCTTGAGAAAGCTGTTAATTACAGAATAGAAGAAAGTATGTAAGTAGATTATTGCTCTAAGGGTTTGTATATGAACTATAAGGAGTTTATTACATGAATAAAACTTATTGAATTATGATCGAGGTGCTAGAAATAATTTTCTCTGAATATTGAAACATTAAAATGTATAGTTGAATTTTCGCTACAAAGGGAGACTAATCAAGTAGCTGGTGGTTTATTATCGTTATGGGTTATTTCCTCTTTGAGCTATCAGTTTTTGTTATGTGTATAAAATGTGTTCAATTTGTATATGGAAAGCAGATAATAATGGGTACTAGTAATAATTTTTTAAGATTGTAATCTGAAGATAATCAAATAGGAAATCAAAACATACAGATACACAACACGTTAGAAATAATTTGCGGATAAACCTTTCTTTAATTACAAACTTAGTGCTTGACTTTCGATAAAGTCGCAAAAAGGTCAGGATGGTTATTAATAGTTTAATCTAATCAATCAAGTTATAAATTAAACCCTTGACTTTTTGACCTCCATTTATATATTTCAAAAGCTTTAAGTAACCTGTGAATAAAAACGTATCTACTAAAAATATTTATTTTATTTTTTAACCTTTGCTGAATTGCCTTGATGGATTTACCAGTATATGGGATTTCAAAATATAAATAATTGAGATGCTATCAGCTGCATTTCAGTCGGCTGGCCTGACTCTATATACTAGTCACTTCCGGTTCCAGCAGTGTAAGGGTTAACGAATAAAACTTTTCTTAAAGATCAGCTTCAATAAGACATATTGCACTACACTACATTTGATATGATTCAACTCAAGGCATACAACAAGCTTAAAGTTTTGAAATGATTTTCTGCATAGTATGTATGTATAGCATAATTATTTCAGACACAGAATAACGATTCCTGACATAATCAATTACCAAAGAAAATATCCAAAAGTGTTTATATGATCTGTTAGACTAAGTGAAGAAACAACATATTCTATATTCAGTCTTATGTTATCATAAGAATTTTGTTTAAGGAAAGCTCAAAATGCAACATCTATTTGGTTTAATGTAATTTTATTGTAATAGATGAAATATTGAGTTCGTGTTCTTTTAAACTGGCATTTTTCAAAAACATATCAGCACTGATCAGACATGTTGAAGAGCAATGGCATTAAAAGGTTGAAGGGCAATGTCATTAAAATATACGCTTATCTAAATGTATGGGATGACATTACCAATATAAAACGATATCCATATAGCAAAATAAGCACAAATGTACACATTTTAAGAATTGTTGTTCTTACCTACACAGCGAATTCCGTAGATTGTTTTGTTGTTGAGGAATGGAAATGAATATAAAACAGCTGAAAATAGAATTACAATTATTATATGTTTGTTGTTTAACAACATGTTAATGTACATATTTAGCATAACATTCTTTGATATTATCAACCCGAGCGTAACATGTTTACTGTGGTGGTTCTACTGATACCTGTATGAGATTACACAACAAGTGCTTCAAATGTAACAGTAAGTGTGTTTATGTTTCATTTAGAATGTTGAAAACGGCGTCATATCACTTTAACGAAGAGTGTTTATACCACCAAAATAATAGAAGATAATTATAAATGATATTTCATATGGCTAATTGATAAATGAAAATAAGTGTATACATATTTGTAGCTAATACGAAATATCATCACAGACGAAAATATATAAATTTTACAAGCAATAATGTTCAGCCCAAAGATGTTATAATAACAACATACAGGTTCTTTTTTGGTGCATTTGCTTTATTATCCCCCGCCGAAAAGGCGGCGGGGGATATAGAAATAGTCCGTCCGTCCGTCCGACCTTCCGTCCGTCCGTCCTTCCGTCCGACATTTTTGTCCAGAGCATATCTCAAAAAGTATTTGAGGTATCAACTTGAAACTTCATAGGTGGATAGACCTCATTGAGGAGGAGTGCAGTGCACAAGAATGATAACTCTACCCTGCATAATTTTTGAGTTATTGCCCTTTGTTATTTTTCAAAATTAATTTTTGTCCAGAGCATGACTCAAAAAGCCTTTGAGATATCAACATGAAACTTCATAGGTGCATAGATCTCACTCAGGAGGTGTGCAGTGCACAAGAATAATAACTCTACCTTTCATAATTTTTGAGTTATTGCCCTTTGTTATTTTTCATACTTAATTTTTCACCTGAGTGGAGCATAACTCAAAAAGTGTTTGAGATATCAACATGAAATGTCATAGGTGGATAGATCTTATTGAGGAGGAATGCTGTGCGCAAGAATGATAACTCTTCCCTATATAATTTTTGAGTTATTGCCCTTTGTTCTTTTTCATACTATTTTGTCCGGAGCTTATCTCAAAAAGTATTTGAGGTATCAACTTGAAACTTCATAGGTGGATGGATCTCATTGAGGAGGAGTGCAGTGCACAAGAATGATAACTCTACCCTGCATAATTTTTGAGTTATTGCCCTTTGTTATTTTTCAAAATTAATTTTTGTCCAGAGCATAACTCAAAAAGCCTTTGAGATATCAACATAAAACTTCATAGGTGCATAGATCTCACGCAGGAAGTGTGCAGTGCACAAGAATGATAACTCTACCTTTCATAATATTTAAGTAATTGCCCTTTGTTATTTTTCATACCTAATTTTTCACCTGAGTGGAGCATTACTCAGAAGTGTTTGAGATATCAACATGAAATGTCATAGGTGGATAGATCTAATTGAGGAGGAATGCTGTGCACAAGAAAGATAACTCTTCCCTCAACAATTTTTGAGTTATTGCCCTTTGTTCTTTTTCATACTAGTTTGTCCGGAGCTTATCTCAAAAAGTATTTGAGGTATCAACTTATAACTTCATAGCTGGATGGATCTCATTGAGGAGGAGTGCCGTGCACAATAATGATAAATCTATCCTGCATAATTTTTGAGTTATTGCCCTTTGTTATTTTTCAAAATTAATTTTTGTCCAGAGCATAACTCAAAAGGCCTTTTAGATATCAACATGAAACTTCATAGGTGCATAGATCTCACTCAGGAGGTGTGCAGTGCACAAGAATAATAACTTTACCTTTCATAATTTTTGAGTTATTGCCCTTTGTTATTTTTCATACTTAATTTTTCACCTGAGTGGAGCATAACTCAAAACGTGTTTGAAATATCAACATGAAATGTCATAGTTGGATATATCTAATTGAGGTGGAATGCTATGCACAAGAATGATAACTCTTCCCTCAACAATTTTTGAGCTATTGCCCTTTGTTCTTTTTCATACTATTTTGTCCGGAGCTTATCTCAAAAAGTATTTAAGATATCAACTTCAAACTTCATAGGTGGATAGATTTTACTGAGGAGGGGTGCAGCACACAATAATGATAACCTACCCTGCATTATTTTTCAGTTATTGCCCTTTGTTATTTTCAGCCATCAATATTCATATAGGTTTCAAATCTGTAATCACTTCAGCCATCAGTTTTCATTACCAAAAGACCTCTTAAAATGAAATCATTATGCTCTACTAAATGTACATTCTTCCAATGAGCAAACACATTCGGCGGGGATGGCCATGTTGACATGGCTCTTGTTCAATGTACGATCAGTGGTTTTAATATTTCTATGATACACAGACACACGCTGACCTTAACTGCCTTCTTAAATCAGTCAAAACCATGATATTCTCTAATGTCACGCATAGATGTAATAAAAGTTGAAAAGCAAGCATAACGAAACCGAACAACCTTTTTAAAAATCTATATGTTTTGCTGAAGTAAAAACAGGGACATAATTATTATTATGTAGTCACAAGTATGTCAAACCACCAGTACATGTATAATATTGACGTAGTCTGATAAATATTAAAATTAGTATGAAAAATGAACTAATTTTTTATTCAACGCCATACTGGACATATACATAATATCATAGAAAATACAACCCTGAATGTAACCAATTTATATTTAAAAGACAATAACAACATATTAAAGATCACATTTGTCTGCTGAACGCTATTTAAATTGGTAATTATTATAAATGAACAATAACTCGAACATGTAGAAGATGTTGCGTAATCAAAAACGAATTTATAGATTTTAAACTTTTTCTGTATGCATGTTTGTTTGTTAATAAAATTGTGGTTAAAAAAAGATGCCCTATTTAGTACAATTTAAAGAACTGTTCTTTCTACTTTATTTTTTAAAACAATTTAATAGTTCATGACACGTGCTAAAACGCATTGCACACAGATGAAATATCTATTATAAATGCTGAAGGTAGCATGATTTTTTAAACTGAAAGTTTGTTATTCTAATTCAATTTTATCCGGTTTCAACCAGCATTTGATAATTTATTTTTACATACATGAATGTTATGATCGTGCGTTTTAGTGATGCAGCGACAGATAGTCTGACATAGACAAAATTATAGATAATAAATGTTTTATTCTGTTTGATCGAGAAATGTCGATCAGATGAAACTAATGTTTTCAGAATGTCAATTTCCTTTCATGTGAATGCTAAACACTTTACCTTTTTGTGACTTTTACCAGATAACTACCGTGAAAAACATCTAATAATCTAACAAATGTACCAAGAATCAATTATATGATAACAGTCTGTCAAGGGACATGTTAGGGCAACTATCAACGACCAATATTATTTTCGTAACTACAGAGTTGGCAATGCTCCTGGACTAGATAAAGTTACAGACACATTTTACGTCTCTGAAATTTACAATGTTCGGATCTCATTTAAATAAATAAATAAATAATAAATTGTCATCTTAGAGTTCTTCAAGTACTTTCATTTGAAATGACAATAACTGTTTATCTTCGTCATTGAAATAGGAGAAATATATAACCTATATACATACAAAATATTTAAATAGTTAAGACAAACTTTCCTGTAAAATACATTAAAACGATGCTATTTCGCTTTTACTGAAGTTGTAATGATCATTTCAGATATTATTAAAATAGCCATAATCTCATCTTCCATGAGGAAGTCCGAGCGACTTTCATTTTGTTAATTTATTTCTATCATGAGGTTTCAAATTTGTTTCTAAAATTTCTATTTATTTCACATCTTATAAAATATCATCAATGGTTCAAAATATCTATATCAAATGCATATCATACTCCTTTATCTTACAGTGTCCAAACAAATTCATAGTAAATCTTTGTTGTTATTCCTGTAACTAGACTTCTGGCAAAATATTTTTAAAACATGGAGAAGTGAAATAAAATGGTAATTATACATTGCTTAGAACAATACTAACAAAATTGGACTCAAAAAAGCTGCAAAAACCTTTATCAGACTCGGCTAGTGCCTCGTCCATTATAATTTTGACAGGTGTCTTCTATTGTACTCAACAATGTATAAAAATCTGGAAACAAAGTGATCCCTCGGAAGCATTAATCACAACAAAATTACAAGAGAATTGCAGACTCGGTTTGATTGAGTCTGTTCATGAGAGATAAACCTTATATTTCTTACACCGTATAAAATATAATCAATGAATTTTCAGCGTTTAAACCACGTGATGTTGTAATATAAATTATTGTCTCAATTAAGTGTTGTTTTCATTTTCATTTTCACAAATGCATATCAAAAGCATATCGTGCCAAAATAGCCATGTTTTCATTTTCAGAGTCCAAAATAGCAATATCAAATGCATATAGTACTTAATCTAGCCTCAGTTTTACTTTCAGAGTAAAAAAAAACATACCGATTCCTTATTATCATATTGAAATAGTTGGCAATTATATATAGTCAGGTGCAAAAATGGCACTCACGTTTTATCTGATTTTGTCATTGGGCTAGCTTTTTAAAGTATAAATGTGATATAGTTTTCTATGACAATAATATGCACTGTACTTTTTCATATTTTGTAAGAGATTATTACGTAGGAAAGTGTATTTGCGCACCTCGCTGACTAGATTAAAGCTGCGGTCTCACTTACTCCCGGCAGAGCCCAGGACCATCCCAGCAGCACTGCGGTAGTTCCCAACTAACCACCCAGGATTCGCTCCGGATCATCCAGGGAGAGCCCAGGTGAAGCTACGGTTCACGCCGGTGCTTACTCGGTCGTTACCTGATGACGCCTGAAGAGCCCCGGTTGACCCAGGTAGAGCCCCGGTCGATCCAGGCAGAGCCCAGGACGATCCCGGCATAGCCCCGGTAGAACACTGGTGGATTTGAGAACTGAGAGCTACGTCCCTTGGTATAACATGGTGTACATTTTTGGTAGTGATTAATTTCTTAGTTATTAGTAAAATGGGGATAGATATAAGCACTTGGAGGTTACGTATAGGTGTGTTTTCACAAAAGTTCAAGGTTGGATGTAAATTTCAA